ATCCATCCATCTATCATTAGTTTTAGTTGTTAAACTAAATGAATGTGTAAAATGTTGCCTTGGCAACTAACTAAATTATGTATAAATGTTTTTTTTTTCTTCCTATTTTATTTTAGTTAATGTACTGAAACTTTACATTAAAAAACAACAACAACATTTTTTATGGTTTTAGTTCACGATAATAACCCTGCAGATGGTGCAGAAATGACATCCTGCAGCTTTAAGGAAGTAAACAGCGTGACTACTGGTTTCTACTCTCCTCCCTCACCTGGAGTGAATGGGCAGCTCAGAGTTCAGGACGCAAGCAGGGATGCTGAACTGCTCCAAGAACAGCTTGAGCCGGTAACAGCGGTCCACATCTCTGACGAACACGAGCGACTTCCCTTGAACCAGGCCGAGCTTCAGGAGGGTGTAGATGAGCAGGAACTTGTCCTCCTCCTCACATCGGATGCTGTACTGCTGGAGCTGAGAGCTGTCAGGCAGCTGAGAGCCCTGGAGCTTCAGCATCACCTGCGACAGACGGAGGAAAGCGTCAGATCCAGCCAAACACACCAGCTGCTGATGCTGACGCCGCTGCACTCACAGGGTTGTGGAGGACCAGCTCCTTAAGGGTCTGGACATCGTCATTCAGCGTCGCAGACATGAGGAACGCCTGGTAGATCTTGGGCAAGTGACTACAGAGGTGAACACAGACAAATGTGACCCTGGAGCACAAAAGCAGTCTTAAGTAGCAATAGCCAACAATACACTGTATGGGTCAAAATTATCAATTTTTATTTTATGCCAAAAATCATTAGGATATTAAGTAAAGATCATGTTATTCAAGGTATTTTGTAAATTTCCTACCGTAAATATATCAAAACTTAATTTTTGATTAGTAATATGCATTGCTAAGAACTTCATTTGGACAACTTTAAAGATGATTTTCTCAATATTTGGATTTTTTTGCACCCTCAGATTCCAGATTTTCAAATAGTCGTATCTCGGCCAGATATTGTCCTATCCTAACAAACCATACATCAATGGAAAGATTATTTATTCAGCTTTCAGATGAAAGGTATATATATCTTAATTTTAAAAAATTGACCCTTATGACTGGTTTTGTTGTCCAGGGTCACAAATACTATATGCTGGACCTTTAACAGGGTTTCTGCTGGTTTATGAAGGTAAATGTAAAGGATAAATCCACTTCCAGATTAAAAATTTCCTGATAATTTACTCACCCCCATGTCAGCCAAGATGTTCTTGTCTGTCTTTCTTCAGTCGCAAAGAAATGAAGTTTTTTGAGGAAAACATTCCAGGATTTCAAGGTCAAAAATGGAGTTTCAATGCCGCTTCAAAAGGATTTACATGATCCCGGCCGAGGATTAAGGGTCTTATCTAGCGAAACGATCGGTCATTTTCTTACAAAAAATTATATTTATACACATTTTAAGCCACAAACGTCACGCGTGACCTTTACAATATCACCTAATAAAGACGCACATACGCATCGTCTTTATTAGGTGATATTGGAAAGGTCACGCGTGATGTAGGTGGAAGTACCGACCCAGTGTTTACAAAACGAACATGCAAAAAAAGTCAAATGCCCTTTACCAAAAAGGGAAAACAACGATGTCGGATGATTTTAAAGTTGGAGAACATGAGATGGAGTTTTTAAATGAAGTACAAAGATGAAGAACTAACCGAGCGTGACATTTCCAACAGGATTACATAATGTGTGAAGATGTGAGCCGAGCTTTTGTGGTTAAAAAGTGTATAAATATATATATATATATATATTTTTTTTTTTTCAGAAAATGACCAATCATTTCACTGGAGCCCTTTGAAGCTGCATTGAAACTGCATTTTTGACCTTGAAATCATTGGCCACCATTGAAGTCCACTATATGGAAAAAAATCCTGGAATGTTTTCCTCAAAAACCTTAATTTCTTTTCGACTGAAGAAAGTAAGACATGAACATCATGGATGACATGGGGGTGAGTAAATTATCAGGAAATTTTTATTCTGAAAGTGGACTTATCCTTTAAGACATATATCACACGGCGTTTTAATGAAAACGCGTACCACAGCAGGCTTTTCAGGTCCGCTTCAAACCCAAACGAGAAGACAAGATCAGCCTCGTCGATGACCAGCAGCATCTCTAATGCAGACTGAAGCTGCAGGTTCTGGGAGTTAATGTGGGCTTGAACACGGGACGGTGTGCTCACCACAATGTCCGGCTTCTCCATTAAAATCGGCCTGAGAAAGACGAACAATTGTAACAAATATTTAATTGCACTTAGAATGAGCTTAAATGAGACTTAATGAACTTGGTTTAACTTGAGCAGGGTTATTATTGTTAACTAAAACTATTGAAAACATTTTTGGAATTGAAATAAAGCTGAAATAAAATATAAATATTTGATGAAAAACTTGTACGAAATGAAAATTAGAAATGTTGCAACTAACTGAAATAAGTTTAAATTTAAGCACTAAAATTACTAACCTCAAAAAAAAAAAAAAACTAAATGGTAATTTTGTTTAAAAAAACAAAAACTAATAAAAATGACAAAAGCACATAACAAAATTACTAAAACTTTAACTGAAATTAAAATGAAAATATAAAAATTAAACCTAATTCAAAAGATTAATAACAACTATAATAGTATATATATAATACTAAAACTAAACATTCCGAACCTCCCAAAACAGTAATATTTAACATAAATAGTATTAAAAAACAAAACGTAATAAAAATGACAAAAGCACTTAATAAAATTACATTTTTTTTAACTAAAATGAAAAATAAAAACATAAAATTAAACCTAATTCAAAATACTAATAAAAACTATAATAGTATATAAATAATATTAAATAGTGCTGTCAAACGAGTAATCGCGATTAATCGCATCCAAAATAAAAGTTTTGTTTGTATAAAATATGCGTGTTCTGGGTATATTTGTTATGTATATATAAATACACACACATACAGTATATATTTTGAAAATATTTACATGTCTATATCTATATTCATATCATTTATATTATAAATAAATATATTTAATACATAAGCATAACATATTTTTCTGAAATATATACATGCATGTGTGTGTAATCGCAATTAATCGTTTGACAGCACTATTATTAAATTAAACATTTTGAATCTCCCAGGCTTTAAGGGTTGTTTTAATGAAATGATAGTTCATTTGATTAATAAAACACCCATTCTTAAATCATTTCAGAGCAAATACATACATATAAGCAAATCTTATTCTAGGTGATTATATACTGTAGATATAATTCCTTTAACCTTTTTTATAAAATTATTATTTTTTTTGCTGTAGTACTGACTTCTGTGCCGATATATCTGCTTTCCCGGAGATGTCGGCCACTCGTACGTCTCTGCCACAGAACGCAGTGAGCTGTCGGATCATGGTTTGGACCTGCTGACCCAGTTCTTTGGTCGGGACCAGGACTACAGCTCTGACGGCCTGCTCACGTACAGTCTGGACACATCAGCGGCAACAATGAACTGTGTTATATATCTGAACTGACTCCTCTGTCATTGAGGCTCAAGTTAGAATAACTCAAAGCCAAGTGTCACCTGTTTGGATGTGAGGATTCTTTGGATGAGAGGGATCGCGTAGGCTGCGGTTTTTCCTGATCCGGTTCGAGCTCGGGCCGGCAGATCTTTCCCCTCGAGCGCCAGCGGGATGGCTTTCTCCTGGATGAGGGTGGGCTGAGACCAGCCTAAATCCGCCAGAGCCTGAGAGAGAAACAAACATTACAATTATTTGTAATTATGTATATTTAAATTTATATAAATATTTTTAATTAATTAATATGCAATCAATATTTTGCAATTTTTCATTTTTAAATCATGTGTGTGCAAACTACTGATTTTTTACATATAATGTGTGTGTGTGTGTGTGTGTGTGTGTGTGTCCAACAAATGTCCCCACAAGGATAGTAAAACCTGAAATTTTTGACATTGTGGGGACCGACCTGCAGTCCCCATGAGGAATATACACACACACACACACACACACAGACACACACACATACAGTTGTTGTCAGTTATTATCAGTTGTATAATAGCAAATTATCACAGTTTTACTGTATTAACAACAGTAATTGGTCAGGAACTTGTAACCATATAACTAAATACAGTTGTACAAGAAAGGTATTTATGGGAAACCTGTTGACACCGAACGAAACGTTGGCATAGATCCTAATAAAATAGACAGAATAAAAATAATACAATATTTAAGTATTCAATAAGAAATCTATCATGCATTCTATTTCAGAAGTGACAGTGCTCCTGTTAGCATGTAAACAATGTTAATCCAGACACTAACTACATTCAAACTGCACAAAACAAACTGTTAATATCCTGGTGTCTGGCATTTCCAGGTAGACAGACTTTATATTAATAGCACGACTGTGTATATTTCACTTTTAACAGCCGATCAACTAAACCCATCTCATGAAAGTGCAGCGTATCCTCCTCCATCTTCACACGTGTGTTTGCGCACAGACGAGCGAGACGTTACACCGCGCTGCGCCTCAGCGCCACCCACGGTACTGGAGGTGAACTGCAGGTCAAACCACACGACGTCGCTTTCATACAAATGTGCGCAAGATATACAGTAGGTGGCGGTAATACTCCTAAGGAGTGAACGGCCATTGAACAAAAAGAAGAAGAAGAAAAACAGCACGAACACAAAATACTAGTAAGTTTCACCTCTTAAATGTCGCAGGACATTAATCAACACCTCTCCTTATAGATAAGTCCTAAATAAATATCTGTGGGTACGGGAAAACTGCATTAAACCGCCGTCACTGTAACGCTGATGCAGTAGGAAGTAAATGTAACACGCTGCTGTTGACCTAACGTTACACAACAGACAAGACTATTTATTTCATAGATTTAATTCGTGCATTTCTATTGTACATGCATGTGTCCCAAAGCACTCAGTATACTTTCTTTTGCATTACAAGGAGAAAAGAAAATCTGATATGGAGACACAGGTATAGCTAACGTACATGATGAGAATTTGTTCATCGTTATTGTGCATAAAGATACACTTTCTGATGTATTATTGTGTAAGCTCTAAATGTTTCTGTGTTCAGATGAGGCAGCGTGTGTTCACTGGGGTGGTCACACAGATGCAGGAGCATCATGGGATTGTGGATCAGGAGGTTCATTTTCCAGTGAGGTTTGTGTGTTTAGTTTATTCTGAACAGTGTTGGGGAGTAACTAGTTACATGCAACTAAATTACGTAAGTTAATTACAAAATAAATGTAATTGTAACATTTACTGATAAAAAAATGTGTAATTTAATTACAGTTGCTTATGAAAATGTTAAAGTAGTTCACTTCCAGAACAAAAATGTACAGAGAATGTACTCACCCCCGTCATCCAAGATGTTCATGTCTTTCTTTCTTCAGTCGTAAAGAAATTATGTTTTTTGAGGAAAACATTTCAGGATTTCTCTCCATATAATGGACTTCTATGGTGCCCCCGAGTTTGAACTTACAAAATGCAGTTTCAAAGGGCTCTAAACGATCCCAGCCGAGAAAGAAGGGTCTTATCTAGCGAAACGACCGATTATTTTCTAAAAAAAAATTACAATTTATATACTTTTTAACCTCAAATGCTTGTCTTGTCTAGCTCTGCATGAACTCAGTTTTTTTCAGGTTTATGACAGTTAGGGTATGTCTAAAAACTCCCATCTCATTTTCTCCTCCAACTTCAAAATCGTCCTACATCGCTGCAGAAGTACCGACCCAGTGTTTACAAAGTGAACATGCAAAGAAGATCAAATGCCCTATATAAAAATGGCAAAACAGCGATGTAGGACGATTTTGAAGTTGGAGGAGAAATTGAGATGGGAGTTTTTAGACATACCCTAACTGTCATAAACCGTAAAAAACAGTGCACGCAGAGCTAGACAAGACCAGCGTTTGAGGTTAAAAAGTATATAAATTGTAATTTATTTATTTTTTTAGAAAATAACCGATCGTTTCGCTAGAGCCCTTTGAAGCTGCATTTAAACTGCATTTTGTAAGTTCAAACTCGGGGGCACCATAGAAGTCCATTATTTGGAGAGAAATCCTGAAATGTTTTGCTCCAAAAACATATTTTCTTTACGACTGAAGAAAGAAAGACATGAACATCTTGGATGGCAAGGGGGTGAGTACATTCTCTGTACATTTTTGTTCTGGAAGTGAACTACTCTAAGGATTACAAAGGGAGTTACATCAGATTTTTTCACACACACCCACATACAGATTTAAAGGGGTCATATGATGCGATTTCAAGTTTTCCTTTCTCTTTGGAGTGTTACAAGCTGATTGTGCATAGATAAGATCCCTGAAGTTGCAAAGACTAAAGTCTCAAAACCATATTGGTTTATATTCTTTATCAAAGTTAAGACTCTGCCACGCCCCCCTAAATTTGAGAGAGGCGGGGCATAGAGGACCTACAATAATGTACAGTATTTGAAAAATAATGTGTTTTTTGAACATTAAAGCATGTCAACATATTCTGTTACACCAAATACACAAAATAATGATCTTTAAAAAAGCATCATATGACCCCTTTAATTGATTCCATTCATAAATTGCAGTGACTGCTCTAAGATATGAGACACCAATGTTTCAGGAGTTTAGGACACATGCTTAGTCGATAACTGTTTTATTTACTTTTTTGGATTTATGCCATATGCTTTATTTTTTTAAGATGAACTGTTTTTCCCAAGGCATTGTTAGATGCCAGTGTTACCTGTCATGACAAATGTATGCAAAGATTTGATTTCAAAAACAGTATCATAGCAACTAAACTGTTTCTTGTTATGGTTTTAAATCTGTACGTAACCTCAGAATGACCTCAAAGTAAGTTATTTTGTGGTAGCTGTGCTTTAAATTATTATAATCTTAATTCAAGTGATGGACTAATCAGTGTTGAGTACTGTAAAATTAACCCGGCCTGGTTTATATGTTTGAAAATGATTAACAGTTGAAAACATTAGAAATGTAGAAAAGTACTCAAATGTAATCAGTTACATTGCTTTAGTAAAGTAATTGAAATAGATACACTACTTATTACATTTTAGACAGGGTAACTTGTAATCTGTAACCTATTACATTTCCAAAGTAACCTTCCCAACACTGATTCTGAATCATATGAATCATAACCTGAGTGTCAGGTTGATGTGATGCTGTGAGGTCTGTTTGTGGTTTGTGCCGCAGTGTTGTGGTGGGTCGTGTGCCCCTGGTGGGAGAAAAAGTGTTGGTGAAAGCGGTCCAGGACCCCCTGAAGCCCATCAGCTGGACTGCACAGAAAGTTCAGACGCTGAACGGACAGGTGGGCAGAAAGGTTTTTGGCTAATATTTCAATAACATCCTCTTTAAACGGTCGCTATATAATCGAAATGCACATATTTTTGTGTGCATCTTAGTGTATTTGCATTAGCAGTGTTTGTAGAGTAAATAATGAAAGTAATACTTTCTTGTAGTCTCTTTTTTTCATGATTTTGGACTGAAGTTCACATTGACGTGTTTTTAGTTTTAAAGCACAGAAATATGAATTTCCACTAAACATGCACACTGTGAAATATTAGAATTTAAAATATCGATCTTATATTTGAATGTGTTTTAAACTGTAATTTATTTCTGTGATCAAAGCTGAATTTTCAGCATCATTACTCCAGTCTTCAGTGTCACATGATCTTCAGAAATCATTCTAATATGCTGATTTGCTGCTCAAGAAACATTCCTGATTATTAGCAATGTTGAAAACAGTTTTGCTGCTTCATATTTTTGTGGAAACTGATAGAATGTTTCAGGATTCTTTTATGAATAGAAAGTTTAAAAACAGAAATCTTTTGTAACATTATAAATGTCTTTACTGTCACCTTTGATCAATTTAATGCATCCTTGCTGAATAAAAGTATTAATATCTTTTAATAGAATCTTATTGATCCTAAATGGTAGTGTACATGAAATTGTGCACATATGTTGACTATTTTATGAAAATAGAATTTTGCATGTAAACATGGACCAACAATGAATATCTGTAACAATGAAAGGTTCAATTTGCCTTAATTATAAATAATGTTTTGTTTATTAACATTTATATTAATCATTTGAGAACTAGGCCTGTCACGATAACATCTTTTTGTTGTGCGATATATTGCCCCAGAAATAATTGCGATAAGCGATATTATTGTTATTTTAAAGACCATTTTATGCCACTGAATATATAATCATAATGTAACAGAATAATAATGCAAGATGGCCTGCACACTTCCAAATGACAACAAACTTTTAATTTTTTAAAATATGTAGATCATGGAAATTAAGTATCAAAATATTAGATACCTTAGAATAAATAGTATATGAACATTTTCTAACAAAAAGTGCAAAGTAACAATTAGAAAAAAATAAAAATGCACAAAGAACATGTAGAAGTATGGACATTTTTCCATCTACAGATTTTTCCCTGACCTTCTTTTCTCTGTAAATTAAGGGTGCACACTATTGCTGAAAAACAAAATCACTACTTAGCAGTCAGATGTCCGTATGCACAAAGGCACAGATCCCTAAACAAG